GGGGGGGGGGATATTACACATATTATACACAAGTTATTGCGCTGTAGACTAATTGCACCCTTCCTGCCCCCCAGAGAGGAGTTGTTCTGATAACAGTGTGCAGAAGTTGCTTACTTATTGTCCATAATGTCCAGTATTTTCATTAGAGACCTCTTCTCAGCTACTGTCACCATAGAGTCCAGCTTCATGTCAACAACTCTTTGGATTAGTTTGTCCTGCCTGTTTGTGTCCTTTTTGGATGTGCTGCCCCCCCAACACACCACAAAATGGTAAATGATCAGTTAATGGGATGAGTGAACACGTTTCACTTTAAAACTAACCTGGCAGCTTCAATAAATAAACACTAGCTATTTAGTTTTACATTTCTTTAGCAGGCATCAGCTGAGTTTGTACATCACTGATACTCAAACATGACACTGTTTCCTGGAGCCTCGGGTATTTTTAGCACTTTGAGCCTTTCTCCAAGACGGCCATGGTGAGGAACCAAGGCAGGTTTCACAGGATGCCGCTGAGTTGCCTTGACAACAGTGGTAAACTTACGGTTTGACAAAAACAAAAAGACGGACCTTTTCCGTGTTTTTGGAGTGGAATAACCATCCATTTTTCGTTTTGTGATATCTGTGTTTAAAATGAAAAACAATCAAAAACTGCACACACATAGACTCTTCAAATTTGTATTTATTTTTTGGATTTTTCAGACTTTATTCTGTAGCTTTTATATATCTGCTAACTCGTGAAAAAAACTCTAGATTCTGACCAGTTTCGTGGTCCGTTCATGACCCCCCACCCTTCCTGCCTGTTTATTTGTCAGGCTGTTCAGTTCCCTCTCTGTTACTCGTCATTCTGCTGGATCTCYGAGAAACTTGAGTTAATGACTGCGATTACAGGAAGCAGCTTCACTATCTGTCTCTCAGGTCCAAACTGAATTAGTGAGAATTCCTTTCATACATCCGGTTAACTCAAAAGCTAAATAAATCARAAATGAAGTAGCTGACCTCTTTTAGCAAAACAAAATGAGTTTGAGACAAAGAGCATCTGAATTAGGCGACCTTTTACAGATCTTCAAGTTTATCTTCTATTCATGTTTACATCATCAATTTTCTCATTTTATTTGCTATGGATGCAACATTAACACTTTGATTTTGCTTCTTCTTTTTTACAACCTCAATTCCAAAACTGTTGAGACACTGAGCAAGAACCAAATGCAACGATATGCAAATCTCATAACCTTAAATTTATATATWCTATAAAAATGGCATTTTGTACAATTTTTTTTTAAAATATAGTCATTTCGAATTAGATGGCAGCAACATACATCAAAAAATTTGGGAAAAAGTCATATTTCCTACTGTAAAACATCCCCTCTTTTTAATAACAGTCTGTAAATGTGTAGGAACKGAGRATACCAGTTGCTGGAATTGATGGAGGGAAATGTCCCATTCTTGTTTGAGCAGCCTTTTTTGCAGGATTGTTTCAGTCATGTTCAATTAGTGAGAAGGCTGGACCGCAGGCAGATTCAACACCTGAGGTCTCATGTATCAAAGCGTTGCACAGCATTTGTACTGAAAGTTGGTGTACGGAGCAAATTGTGCACGTGCAAAAAGATATTCAGATTTATCAAACCGTGTGCACAGACGTTTCTGCACTCCTTTTCTTTAAAGGACAAAGCACATTGATCACGATTTCAGWAATATAAATGGAATTATCACAATAGCTGCATTTTATCTATTGTCCAGAACATGTATAAAAAAATAGCTCAACATACGTGTCAACTCCTTTGAATGTTTAACTGAATCATTACCCTCAGAAATCCATCATTTTCATAAAAAAATCTGAAGTGCTCTCACACGATACACCTCGGGGTGGAAGGTGGACTGTCGACSGTGGGGAGAGGACGTTGATAACGTCAGCTGCAGAGGAGCAGAGAAAGGAGGACCAGGAGGTGGCAAACAGCCCTTACAGCATGACGACTATGAGACTTAAATAAATTTGAAGCAAAGTTTTTGAAAAAACCTGTGAGATTTTCTCTATACGCCTGTATACATGCAAAAATGGGGGAAGATCTGTTTACAGACAATCCTAAAACTTGGCATAGAACAAATACAACAGTTGATAAAACAACCCATAAATCAAAACACACAATGACACACTTTATAAACTACACAATTAAATTTGACTCTTTTCCTAAATAAATGCAGGACTGTTTTTTTTATTTTAGCAAATTTTAAATTTGTTTTTAAAAACCAAACCACTGCCRTAGTCTCTGACTTATGCTGGTATTTTTTATTTTTTCATAAATTTATTCCTCTAATTGATATGTCTTACATTCCAATGAAGGTGGGCCTGTAAGAGTTGTACCCTGGCACACAGCTATTTAAATATGCAAATAAAAATGTGTAAAAACGTACAGTATTTAGCACACTGCCCTCTTGTGTCTGTGCCATGCACAAACAGGACTGACAGGAGCTGCAGCTGCCAGAGCGAGCCGACGCCACAAGAAGTAAAATCAAAAACGTTTATTGGTTAGATGTTAAAAACAGGAGTAAAACAAAGGATTCCTGAAGGAAATTTTGTGACTAATTAACTGAATTTAAGATACAGACTGTGAACTGCTCAGGCTATTGGCACCATGACACCAAGGAAGCAGGATTTTGAACTGTGCACAAATAGCAWGGTCCTTTTCCTTTTTAAGTACAGAAGACATTGCTCTTTTGTCCCAAAGAATAATTTTAAATTTTGCTTCATCGGACCACAGAACAGTTTTCCACCATGCCTCAGTCCAGTTTAAATGAGTTTGGTTCAGAGRGAACTGCATCAGTTCTGTATGGTGTTTACATTTGGCTTCTGACAGAGCATTAGAGATTATTTTTGTGGATGGTACAGTGAAGTGTGTTTCCAGACAGTGATTTAAGGAAGCGTACGCTGATTAATTGTAAATTGCTCTTCCAGCTATTTTTTATTTGCATTTACTTTTACAGTTTCTTGTTGCCCCGTCCCATTTTTTTTTTTTTGTTTTTGAACATCCCATCTTTTGGATTAAGTTTATAGCAACTGTTGATGTGATCTTTATTTTGTTTTTTTTCATACTTCAACTTTCCATATACAATGTTAAATACATGTAGCTCTCTGCAATATCTATTAATTTATTTAAACGTGGAATTTAGCTAAAATGTTAAACATTGACCTCAAACAATGACTCATAAAAAATAATAATAGTAATTTGAACATTTGGTTGTCAGAGTAGAATTGTTGTTTTATTCCATGTTGTGTTTTAACTGTAATAATAAAAAAAATGTCACTTTTTCTCCAACGTTCAGTGAAAGCCACGGGAAGCTGACCGTTTTCTCCATGAAGGCCATGCTGGCAACAATGTGTGGAGGAAAGATTGTGGACAAACTGCGCTGTAAGTATTATTTATATCATTTTGAATGAAGTCCCAGTCATCTGTACAGACACAGTTTTAAGCAGTTTTTTACATGTCTAGCTGCAGTCAGACATTTCTATCCACTCTGCCTGGGCATGACTTTAACATTATGTTGGGGCTTAATGAGTGCTTTGAACTGTTCTTTTTTTTCAGTGTGGAATTATTGTACAACACACAATCTGAGTGTTTTTTATTGAAATTAGAAAAACATAAACTGAAAATTAAAATGAGCAAAACAAAAACTAAGAAATGTTAGTGATGTGAGTACGGGCTTTTCTTTTGGATCTGTTGTTTCTGTGACTCAACTACAGACAGATGGTAAAACATAAATAATGGAATGATGGTGACTAAAAGCTAAAAACTATAGTATGAATGTTATACCGTCCATTCACCCCTACACGTAAAATATAATGTGCCAAATGTAAAATAAAATGTTACCAAAATGTCACTAACACAGTTCCATTATTTAGCTCACTTTCTAGCTAAAACATTTCCACAAATATTTTGTTGTTATTGAGCTCACAGCTCTTATATTTTTACTAATTTTCACTAAATGTTGAATTTATT